GCCCAGGGTGCACCACGAGGAGGTAAGTCTATCACACACCTCCCTCTAGCTATACATAATTCATTGTTATTTTACGTTGATAGGCGGAAATAGGCCTATTTAATCACTCCTGTACTAACTATTGGCAGTTTTAAATTTCGTTATTGAACTAAAATGATTTTGCTCGCGTCAAAGAACACATATTTCTTAGTACAAATTAATTATGACACAAACTTAACACTTAAACGCAAAGTTTCCTCTGAAAAATCATAACAAAGGGATATGAATACAGTGAAATAACTTAAGTTTATAACATTTTCATGCAAATGAATTTAGGTTGCTCACTGAGAATGACCAGTCGACAAAGAAACTTTGTGATCGTTTCTCTAAAGGCGTCGAAAAACTGGACGATGCGTCGAGTCAAGTCAAAGAACTCAATGAGAAACTAGTGATTCAGCGAGAAGCAGTTGAGGAAAAGACGAAGGCTTGTGAGACTCTTCTCAGTAATATACTTGAAAGCCAAAACATTGCTACAGAAAGCCATGCTCAGTCCTCACAAAAAGCGAAGGAAATGGAGACCCAGTCAAAAGAAATTGAAAATGAAAAGGTAGGTTTATGAAATCCGATTTCAATGAAATATGAATGTACAATTTTGTCAAAAGAACATTCGGATACTACTTATACTATGAGGCTTATACATTATTCTAGAAAGAAGCGGAAATCGCTTTGTCTAAAGCCCTGCCTGCATTGGAACAGGCCCGTGCTGCTCTCAGTGAATTGGATAAGAATGATGTGACAGAAATCAGGTCCTTCGTGAAACCTCCTCAACCTGTTCAAGTTATTTCTGAGTGTATTTGTGTATTCAAAGGAATGAGTGACGTTTCTTGGAAAGCTGCAAAAGGAATGATGGCGGATACAAACTTCTTGCAGTCCCTTCAGGCAATGGATATGAACTCTATCGGGTCTAAGCAGTTGTCAACTGTGAAAGGTATTCTAAGTCATTATCATCCATAATAAAGAAAGGAATTTGCTTATTCTGTGGACATTCTAGTATGAAATCTATCTTGAACATTTGATAATTGCTTACATATATGTAAACTGAGCCTTTCTCAGACCACTGGTGTCTATTTGAGTCCGGTTTTACTCTCTTAACTATGCTATTACTTGAGAATACACCCAGGATTGGGTATAGGAATTTTTCCTTACTAAAAACTTCTTAAAGAACTTCAGTAAATGGGTGTCTTGTAACAGACTTTTTCGATGGCGAATCACTGCCTCAAGGACTGTTCGAATATAAGTTAACTAGTGGCATAGAAATCAGCCATTATCACTGAGTTGATTAATAAATTTAAGTCCCCAACCAGTTATGTGGGCATGTATTGAGTGAAAGTGATTCATCCATGTAGCGTTATTATGAGTTAAAACACCGATGGTTTCTTGGTACGAACATATGGCATCAGTTCTTGCATGTTCTGCCTGAATTTAACACAATTTAAAGTGTAACCTAAAAATATTTTAAAAATGACAAAATCAAGAACGCTCTTAATATGGATAAAGGATGAGCTATGAAACGATAAGAACTCTAAAAAATTCCCAAGTCTATTATGGAATGTGTTAATGAGAAACTCTCATTCTGCTGCTTGCAATGATGATCAGAATCACCCAGTAGAGATGAATGTTCACATCAACGGGTGCGCATCTATGAACATAGATTTTGTGACTGCCGACTTGACAGAGGTTGAAGTTGGTCATTGTAGGGAAGTCACATCATGAAGACGCTCCTATGGAGAACTCGCAGTCCACTATCCCTCTCCTTGGCCAGAATTAACTTGCTAAGGTTGCCACCCACGTCACTGGATGTGCGCCTCTGGGTATCGATCCCGTGACCTCTGACAATGCCATCTGAGCTGATAATCTCTGTTGCTATCAGAAAAAACTTTCGCATGGACATCGAGTGAAGACCCTGCAAAGTTGACAATACTTCGCTATCAGCACTTGATTTTCTAAAAATGGTTCATCCTCACTACTACAACACTGGCTAATCAATAAAACAATAAAGATTTGGGTAGCCTAATTCTTAAATACCCTGGACGACCTCACAAATACTTAGTGATATGTTTTTTGTTACGAATAGGATTAAAATCTAAAACAAAGAGAAGTGAGCATGAGGGAATGGATTTAAGCCATCTTAGAATTGCAATGGTTCCCGATTTGTTTATAAGTAAAAGCTATCGTTGAATTTGAAAGTTATGGTAATAGGTAGTAGTGGGGATCAGTGGTGAAATGGTCGACGCACACGTCTTCAATCTCAGAGATCACTTTAATTTGACTTCTTATGCTTTCCACTCTCTTTTGACCATTCTATAGAGCATTTGATTAGTTCAAAAATTACCATGGAACAAATGCGAATAGTGAGCAAGGCTGGAGCGGGGTTCTTGAGGTTCGTTCATGCCGTTTTGGAATACTGCGAAGTTCTCCAAGATGTGCGTCCAAAGCGTGAGAAAGTGGCAAAACTGGAGAAGTTATTTTCCCAGGTAATGCATTTTTTAAATAAATAAGTACAAATTAAGGAAAAACTTAGGTTGCTGTGTACTTTGTCAATAATTATTATTTCCAATATAAAGAACATAATGATATTATCATTTTGAACATTAAAATAGGGGTGAAATAATTAATGATAGATATTTTCTAACGTCCAAAACTTTTCCTAAACGTAGAATGAGCGTGATCTCGATCGAATAAAACGTAAACTCGCCAGAGTGGAAGAAGACGTCAGGAGATACAACGAGAAACTCGCCACAGCTAAGGAAGAGCAAGCAGCTCTTCAGGAAGAAACTAAAATTATGGAACGCCGTTTAGAAGCTGCTGACAAGCTATTCAATGGCCTCGGATTAGAGTCCGTTCGGTGGCGAGAGGAGATTGAGACGCTCAAAAAGAAACGGCAAAATCTTTTGGGAGACTGCTTAGTTTCCGCGGCCTTCCTAACTTATAGTGGACCATTCTTCTACAATCTTCGTCAAAGAATGCTTCACGATGACTGGCTTCCAGATATTTCGAGACGAGGAATTCCTATCTCGGAAGACTTTAAATTTAATCACCTTCTGACGGATGAAGTTACTGTTGCAAATTGGAACGCTTGTGGACTTCCAGGCGATGAACTAAGTGTCCAGAATGGAATTCTAACCACCCGCGCATCTCGATTTCCACTTTTCATTGATCCTCAGCAACAAGCATTGAAGTGGCTCAAGACTATGGAAGAAAAGAACAAACTCCGAGTTGCAACCTTTAATGATCCTGATTTCTTGAAATATCTAGAACTAGCCATTAAGTATGGCACGCCATTCTTGTTGGAAGATGTTTACGACCACATCGATCCAATTATTCAAAATGTGCTTTCGAAAAATATCCTCGTAGAGAAGAACAGATCGTATGTCATGTTAGGTGATAAAAAAGTCGAATATGATCCAAATTTCCGGTTATATCTAAACACGAAATTGTCAAATCCCGCATACGGACCGAAGGTATTTGGAAATGCAACTGTGATAAACTGTACAATAACGGAGGAAGCATTGCAAAATCAACTTCTTGATGTTATTGTGAAACATGAACAAAGCGGTTTGGAAGAAAAGAAGAATATGCTAATTCATACCATAAGGTTTGTCACATATGTAATATCGGGTATGGTTCAGAATGTCGTGTACCTTTGGTGTAGCAACTTACGTGCCCCTTAAGCCGAAGGTCACGGACTCAATGCTGATCAATGCGCACGCAGTGAGAGGAATGTCTATCACACGGATTTAGCCTGGCTATAGCGGATATAACAAAATTAGGTTTTAACAATGACATCCATACTGCTGTTCTCTATACTCAAGAGGATGACTTTAACACACTTTCCTAAATAATCTTGAGGATTTGAACTATTTGGTGGTCCACGTGTTTCTATATCTATCTTAATATAATTGGGTTTTATTTGGAAAATGTTTGATTAGTGATTCTTATCAGAACTTCTGTACTGCGATTTAAAGACGGTTTAGTAATTTGATTTTTCCAAGTATGGTGTTCATTTATTTACCAAAGCATATTTCATATCTAAAAATTGTAATTATAAATTAAAAATGAATAATATAGTAAGAAAAAGTAGCGGTTAAAATAATTAACATTATTTTCGAGTTAAACTAGTCAAATTTCTTTACTGGAGCCTAATAGATGTAAGCTAACTCTAGTATTTGGTATTAATTCAATTCCATTTCTTTAATTATTCAGTGACAACAGAAAGATTCTAAAGAAATTGGAAAGCAATCTCTTGCTGAATTTCACCCTCAGTACTGGAAACATCTTGGACAATGAAGAACTAATCAATACCATGGAAGAAACAAAACACAAAGTCACCGACACCGCGGAAAAGCTTGTTCTTGCAGCCAAAACTTCAGCTGAGATAGAAGCACTGACCTGTGCCTACAGACCAGCAGCGAAAAGAGGCGCCTTGTTATTCTTCATTCTAACCGACATGGCCACCATTAGCCCAATGTATCAGTTCGCACTGGCTGCGTACACGAAACTATTTGAGACAGTTCTACAACGAAGTGCGCCTGACACAGTATTGAAGAGAAGATTAACGAATATCATCACTAAAATTACCGAAGCGGTATACGCTTATGGATGTACAGGTTAGCATAGACCATGATTTTCATGGCTTGATACCCTACCCTTCTGAAATATTTATTTATTTATCTCAAATGGCAGGCGTTTTGATAGTAATCATTAGCCCTTTAGCCGACTTCGGGCTTCACAGAGAGGAGGAGGAACATCAAAGTGACAAAATTTCGAACGGGGGGGGGGACAGAATAATGATTAACAGATGTGAAAGAGACAGACACACAAAGGCAGAGAAAAGGTAAGATGAGTACTGCGAAGGGGACAAATATGACAGACAGTCAGGTCATAGTAGTTTTAAGTCAGAAGTCAATAGCCGATAAATTGACTTTTTGCCGTAAAAGTATACGTTGCCCAGGGTGAACCACGTGGAGGTAAGTCTACCGCACCCCCCCCCTTCTGAAATTTTTAATGTATCCTACTCGAATCAGAATGATTTTACCTCACCAAAAATGCAAAAGTGCATGTTGTATGCATTCGTCCGAGGTAAAATTCATTGCTTTGTAGATTTACCTGAAGGGATGCGTTTGAGATCAGTATAACTGGGTCAAGTAACGTTGTCTTAATAGGCAATTTCTTAGCCCTGAGACTGTAATCCTTACAAGAGCCTGATTGAAAACAGTTATACTGAGCACCTTCAACGGTAAAATTCGTTCTAATCTTTAGTCATAGGTAAATTCATTGATATCACAAAGTATCCCTCCTTTTTACTCAAGATTAATTTCGTGCACTTTGGATTGCCTATTTGCCGACCAATAGACGCCCTGAAAATATCGGTATTTATGCTTCGTTTTCTACTTTTGAACAATAATTTGGTAGGTGGAGAGTAAATGAAGAAGGTTTGAGCTAAAAAAGTGTTAATTTCGTTTTGAACAATTGTGCTCGTGGGCTACAAAGATACCACGGTGCCGTCTTCAAAATGGGTTAATTTGTTTGGATATAAGGAGAGGAGGTCTTCATTGCCACAACCCCCCCCCCCCCCCCCCACCGACAATTAAATTTCCCCATCTATCGCAGTCTAAGCCCAATTAAAATTTAGGGCTCATTATCAAGGAAATTAAAATTTAATAGAAATAATTGCGCAGCTTGGAAACAGGACAAGATAGCTTAAAATTGTTCATATAAAATTAAATCTGGTTGAAAAGTAAAGTTTATCAATATACCAAGCAAGATATGAGTTTCAATTAAACCAATACCTTCAGTTAATTATATTATAATTCTGATTTGTAAATATTTATTTATTTATAGCAAATTTCAGGCGCTTTAATAGTTGTCATTAGCCCTTAAGTTGACTTCGGGCTTCACAGAGAGGAGGAGAAACATCAAAGTGACAAAAAGTCGAGAGGGGAGGGGACAGAAAAATGATTCGCAGATGTAGTTAGAGACAGACAGACAAAAAGGCAGAGAAAAGGTAAGATGAGTACTGTGGAAGGGATCGAATATGAGATACAGTGGGGGTGATGGTAGTTTGGAGTCAGAATTCAACTGCTAGTTAATACACTTTTTGCCGTATGAGTATACGTTGCCCAGAGTGCACCACGTGGAGGTAAGTCTATTGCACACCACGATTTGTAAATACATGTAAAGCGATGTTTAATATTTTTAGGTTTCTTCGAACACCACAAGTTACTCTTCGGTTTCCAAATAAGTCTGAAATTGCAACTCGATGCAGACAAGATTAATCAAGATGAAGTTGATTTCTTCGTAAAGGGAAACGTAGCTGTTGAGTGTGAGACTCAAAAATGTCCAGTTTCTTGGCTTACAAATTCTAATTGGAGAGATCTTCAACGTTTAGAGGAAATTCTGCCCATACAGTTTAAAGGACTCACCAAAAGCGTCTCTAAAGATTGGAAGAAATGGAAGAAGGTAAGATTCGCAGAACAGTTACATCTTATTATATTTATTTATATCAAATGGCAGGCGTCGTGATGGTTATCATTAGTCCTTTAGTTGACTTCAGGTTTCACAGAGGGGAAGGAACATCAAATTGAAAAAAGTGGAGAGGGGGAGGGGACAGATGAGTGTTTCAAAGATGTAAGAGACAAACACAAAGGTAGTACAAAGGTGAGGTGAATACTGTGGAAATAGTCGAATATGGCATAGAGTGAGGTGATGGTAGTTTGAAGTCAGTAGTCAACTGTCGGTTAATAGACTTTTTGCCGTATGAGTGTACGTTGCCCAGGGTGTACCACATGGAGGCAAGTTCATCGCTCACCCCATAATACCTTAACTAATCTAAACTGGAATATAAGGCTGTATATGGCGCAGGAAGGTGCCATATGTCATCATTAAAGTCAAGGTAATACAGAGGGGAACTTAAGATCAGCGTAGTGCACTTCAGTCATCGCTGGGATCATTATCTTCAGTGCTCACCTTCCCGTTAACTAGATACTTTAGAAGGACTTACTTCGATTTAGTTAATTACTATTTATCAAAACTGAGAGGGCAGTAAGTGAATACTAAGTTCCGTCAGCTGTTGATTCTGACCAATTTAAATACTAAATTTGGCTGAAAGAGTTTAGTGGGCTTTTTTCAACTGATCATAAAATTACAATATTTATCAAGCTTTATAAGTGTAATCTGCAATTATTTTGTGCATTTCAGTGGTACTCTTTAAGCAATCTAGAGGATGAACCTCCGCCATATTTTGAGATGGTTACGAGTTTTCAAAAACTCTGCCTTCTCCGTTGTTTCCGATTGGATAGAATCTGTCGGGCGGTTGAAAACTTTGTGGCTGAAATACTCGGCAACAACTGCATGTCTTCCAGCGAGTCAAGTTTGGCCACTGTATATGAACAGAGTCATCCTGAAACTCCCATTGTATTCATTCTATCGCCTGGTTCAGATCCTACTGAGAGTTTGAAGAAATTCGCCAAATCACATTTGGATCTTGATCCTTCGATCAATTTAAAATTCCTTTCAATGGGACAAGGCCAAGAGACGTCTGCTTTAAAGCTATTTAAATTGGCTTCTGCTGATGGTTCATGGTTGATATTGCAAAATTGTCATCTTCTAGTGAAATGGATTCCTCAACTAAAGAAATCTATCGAGAGTACGAAAAAATTTCATCCAAATTTCCGACTTTGGATCACAACTGAACCATCACCAGATTTCCCGATAGATTTCCTCCAGCTGTCTCTCAAAGTTGTCACTGAGCCGCTTCTGGGTTTAAAGAGGAATCTTAGAGCAACATTCTTGGAGATTCCAGCCTCCAAGTTCGTTGAATGTCAACATCCAGCCTTTTCAACCCTAGCTTATACACTATCTTTCTTCCATGCCGTAGTTCAAGAACGCCGACAATATGGGAAGCTGGGATGGAACGTACCCTATGATTTTAACCTCTCCGATTTCCATGCAAGCTTAGCAGTTATAGTAGATCAAATGAAATCGACAAGGTTAGAATCAGAAATATCATGGGGAAGTTTGAGATATCTCATTGATGAAGTGATGTATGGGGGGCGCGTAATCGATGAATTTGATAGGCGAGTTCTGCGGACCTACATACATGAGTACTTTGGGGAGTTTCTTTTTGACAAATGTCAGTATTTTCACTTCTATGCGAACAAGAGGATCGTTTATGGCATTCCTTCTGACGTCTCGAGGGAGGGCATTATAAGTAAGTAACCCCTTTTTCTGTTTTAATTTTCCATTCAATATAAAGGTACCATTATTTAAATCTGTAATTTGAATATATAACAATTTTTGTCCTAATTTGAATTGGATTTTGTGTTTCATATCGATTTTACACCAGTGGCCCAATTAGCGCTTTCCACCCATCCCAACTAGAGGATGTGTGGGGGAAATTTTGACCTAATTGTGATGGAACTGGAACTATGTAAGACGGCGATGAAGATGCCCAGGAGATTAATTTTGTCAGGAGAAAATCATTCCATTTTTGTACCACCATGCCTCAAAGGGAATCTACCTAGCGGACAGAGACTACAACCATGGATGACACAATTATGGAATGAAATGGCATATTGATAAGACAATTGATCACATTTTGATCATGGCAGCCAGTTTAGTCCTAAAGATTTAATTTCAGTGCCAATTAAGGAAAATGCATGCCTACTAACCTATGTCGTTTAATACCAGTAAGTAATGTCAAATCTAAAGAAATAGAAAGAAAAGTTAATTTCAACTACGTTTTAAAGATTTGTTGATTCATTTTAGGGAAGAGAAGGCTAAATTAGCCAATTTTTAGCGACCTTTATGTTATTCGTACGGCAGAATTAATTAAACGCCAGTCATATGCTAGTATAGTGAATTTCAAAACAAATCAATAATTTCATTAAAGATCGTTGACGGCCTTCGTATCGCAAAACTGTCGCAAGTAGTATTCAGTAATTTATTGGGTACTTTGTGTCTTCTAAATTGAGTAAAGGTGACTGAGGGGGCATATTTGGCATGTATATGATCACAGCTGAATATCGTGAAAATTGTAATCTGATACCTCTATAATTAGTAAAGACCAACTAACTGGCTAAATTTGTTTAAAATTTATTTACAGTTCTTGCTCATCAACATTTGTGACAACAGTTCTTTTCAATCACAATAATCCAATCAACGTAATGACATCTTCAACTTTAATATATATAATCCCCAAATCTTTCTTGGGGGAATAATTGTGCCCCTTTTAAAATGAGGTATATGAAACAAACAAAATTTTAAGTGTTAACTCATGGCCTCTGAAACAAGACAATGAGTCATATTTCATGCAGACATCTTGGAATAAGCAACCAAAAAGTTTACTAACCATTAGACACCCGTGACAAAGCTAAAAGAACAGCTGAAGATATGTTTATTTGAATCTGCGGAACGTAATCAAACATTTTGGTCTAAATGAGGATGTAGGCTTCAAGTAGTATCTTTCGGTTTCGCCTCGAGCATCTATCGTAACTGTCATTATAAAAGCTAATAATCATGTCGTTGCTCCACTGTGAAACCATCCCAAGAAATTAAGAAAATCAGGATTTAATCAGAAAAAATATTCAATATAATCAGTGCATGCTTCTTTACTCTTTTGCTTGAAATAGGAATGCGAATCGGGTAAAAAAACTTAACATTTTGTTTTATAACGAGTGGGTTGAACCCCGAGGAAAAAAATAAAGCTTCTAATTCCGTTAGAACACCCTTATTGCTGACATTATTTAAATTTCCGCAATATTAAATAGGAAATCAGTCCACGCTCAATTGCTTCAATTTCGGTTCAGCATCGTGTAACCAAATTTACGATCGCGCATTGAAGAATTGGCCAATTTTCTCTCTACCATGTGTGTTTCAGTTCTGTTAATTTACGTCTCACAATCAGATCAGGTGTTTGCTTTGATGTTGTGCGGTCGATTTAAACCCCGTGGTGGGGTAAGTGTTTGCTTTAATGCATTCACATATTATATTGCCTTCCATATGAGAAGTGATGAGTCATGAATTTTCACTTCCCACGGCCTCTGATTGGTGGAATGAGTCAATATTGGTGGGGAGATAGTGAATAGACTTACTCCCTAGAATGTCTGTGACAATGCGCCTAGCATTTCTGAGGCTTCTCGTTAAACCTGGGTTCCACAGATCTTTCACTTGGACT